TGACTAAAGGCTATTTTAAATGCAATGACATAATTTAATGAGGATTTGCTCTTCAATCTTTTCTTCCTATGTTAATATTTATATAATATGATACTGTATGTACTGATTTTTTATAATCAAAGTAATCGGAGAAGGGAAAAAGCAACAACCAAAAAGGAATAAAGAAAGGTTCTGATTTCCAAACTCCTATCATGCTTGATCATTGATCATGAAGGAATGGTGAGATCTGGAGCACAAAAGCCTCCAAAGACATCACCACTCATAATATAATATTTATATAATATGATACTGTATGTACTGATTTTTTATAATCAAAGTAATCGGAGAAGGGAAAATATTATGAGTGGTGATGTCTTTGGAGGCTTTTGTGCTCCAGATCTCACCATATTATGAGTGGTGATGTCTTTGGAGGCTTTTGTGCTCCAGATCTCACCATATTATGAGTGGTGATGTCTTTGGAGGCTTTTGTGCTCCAGATCTCACCATATTATGAGTGGTGATGTCTTTGGAGGCTTTTGTGCTCCAGATCTCACCATATTATGAGTGGTGATGTCTTTGGAGGCTTTTGTGCTCCAGATCTCACCATATTATGAGTGGTGATGTCTTTGGAGGCTTTTGTGCTCCAGATCTCACCATATTATGAGTGGTGATGTCTTTGGAGGCTTTTGTGCTCCAGATCTCACCATATTATGAGTGGTGATGTCTTTGGAGGCTTTTGTGCTCCAGATCTCACCGGCTATTCTCATGGCAATAGGAACAGATGCTCACCTCCAAACTCCAATGTACTTCTTTCTCAGTAATTTATCATTGCTGGACATCCTTTGTCCAACGGTCATTGTACCAAAGATGCTCCAGATATTCTTGTCGAAAGACAAGAGAATACCATTTGTTGGCTGTTTGCTGCAATTATTTTTCTTGCTTGATGTGGTGGGCACTGAAATCTTCTTGCTCGCAGTGATGGCTTATGATCGCTATGTGGCAATATGTAGTCCTCTACATTATGCCAACATAATGAATAAACAGCGGTGTGTTCAATTGATGGCTGTGATTTGGCTGTTGGGCTTAATTAATTCTATGGTTCACACCTCACTGACCTTTAGGTTGTCTTTCTGTGGATCTAAGAAACTCAACCAATATTACTGTGATCTTCATCCTGTGACAGCTCTCTCTTGCTCTTCTACTTATCTTCCTGAAGTCGCTCGTCTTCTTGTGGCTGGTATTGTAGGAGGTGGGGCATTTCTGATCACTCTGATCTCTTACATCTACATAATTTCTACCATCTTGCGCATGCACTCCACTGAGGGGAGGCGCAAAGCCTTTTCCACCTGTGGTTCTCATTTGACTGTTGTTTGCCTTTTCTACGGGGCAACCATTGCTACCTACGCACGTCCCACCTCTTCTTATTCTGGTAAACGGGACAGAATAATTTCTATGCTGTATGGGATAATCACTCCCATGCTGAACCCTATGATCTACAGTCTGAGGAATAAGGAAGTTAAAGCAGCATTAGACAAAGCCTTCAATCGGAAAAGATTTTCATAAATATCTCCTTCCTTTCCTTCTTCAATGATCAATGATCATTGATCAATACCTTAGGTTTCTAAAGCACCTTTTTGCAGATTTGTTTCCGATCTAACCATACTCTTACTGTAATGAACCTGGGTAAGCATTAGAATTGCCTGCTTTTTGGTCAACATTTCTCTTTTTGTATCTATAAGGAGGCAGCTGAAGGCTTTTGCTTTTGCTTTAGAACCATCCCTGTCTCAGATATCAGAATGCATGAAGTTGTGATATAAGTGTGCTTAATTATAACGCAGTGTTGCAACAGTCTGACCCTGTTTGTAATCCTAGTTGATACACAATTGCCACTTCTAGGTGAGGTGCAGCTGTCCTCTATTGAAAAGAAGGCATTTTTATCTGTGATGAATGGTGACATCCCATTTCTCTCATAATAAATGCTTACATTGGTGTCTATGAATTCATGTTTTTATTCTGTCAGATTTCAGCATGTAGACAAACACAGGGACTTAGTGTTTTGAATGGCCTTTCCTTTAATGTATGACCTTTTCCAAGACTGCAGTGTACTATTTAATATTTTAAATGTGCGAGAATTTAATTATTTCATTTCTATTTTTATTTTATGAACCATGTATTTGGCCATGTAACTTGCTGTTTTTAGCTGCTTAAATTTGTTGTGCTTATTGAACTGTCATACAAGCACCTGAAAGAGATCAAAAAATGAAAAGAAATAAATTGAAGTCACTCAGAGGCAGCTTCAGCGATTCTGAAGGTGAAGCTTCATCTCCAGTAATGAACACACTTATTTCTTTTGTGTACTGTCATCTCTAGACAAACAGAATTTCTAGGCTTTGGGGAAGAAATCAAAGATCATATATCAAAGTTGGATGAGCATATCTACTTATTATAAATCAGTTTCCCCTTCAGCTACTCAAAACTTCTTGAGTGAGTAAATTGATTAGGAATCTGGATTATGGAAGATCTCCTGCTGTGGAGAACATTTTAATTTCCAGGCCCTTGTTTTCTTATTCTGTATTTCCTCACAAATGAGTCTGAAGCTCACCTGTGATTGTCTTTACTTCTCCAGAGCTTGAAATGCAGAAGATCTCATGAACAAATAGGAGAATGCAAACTGTATTATTCAGTCAGTGAATAATACTGAACTACTGTTGGTCCTGGAGCAAAAAAAATCTAAACTCTGTTCCACATATGCCAAAAAAAAAAAAGAAATAAAAAAGCTAGATTCTACCCCTGTCATATGTGTTATCAAAGCACACATGGTTTTGGTTGTTTTCAAAAAAACACACATTGAGTAGTGTTTATAAAAGGTGTCTACAAAGTTGCTCAGTCACCATTGTTGATTATTGTGATGATGAAAGAATAACATTGCAGTAATTCTACAACGTTTCAAGCGTTCCCATTAATGGGAGAAACAGAACATCACTGTTTTATCTTGTTTATTTCTGGGCAGCAAGGCAGGATGTGAGTTGCTGGATTTGGGAAATTTACTATGCTTCTCTGAGGACAGGCGTAATCTAAAGGAAGCAGTTGGTGCTTGAAGTGGCCTTCCTTGGATCTATGAATTTTTCATATCATCCACCCCATCTTCAACCTACCATTTTTGTGGGTGATTACTGAGAAGGCTTGACTCCAGAGATTCCTAGAAGGAATAGATTATCTACATCCCTGCTACTCTGGATTCATATCTAATCATGGGATGATAATGTCACTGGGCACTCTGGTAGATGATGTTTGTGAAGATCTGGATGGGGGTGGGGAATGTGCTCCTCCTGCTCTTAATAGATTTCTCAGCAACCTCTGATACTGTTGACATTAGTATCTTATGGGACCACCTGTGAGGCCTGGGATTTGGAGGCACTCTTTTGCATGGGGTCTGCTCCTACCTGAGTGGGCAGTTTCAGGTTGTAGTTATGAGGGAACAGAACTTGAGACCTTGGTTACTCAAGCACGGCACACCTCAGGGTTCAGTGATTTCCCCCCCCCCCCACACACCGCTCTTTCTTTCCATGCTATATGGAGCTACTGGGGGAGGTAATGTGTTGGTTCAGGCTGACTTGTCAGCAGTATGCTGTTGACAAACATCTGTGCACTGCCAAACTGGAAATGTTGTGGAAAGCTTGAACCAGTGTTTGTTAGGGGCAAAAGATGCTCAACTTTAATTCCTCCAAAATTGAGTTTTGGAGTTGCTGTTCATCAATTATCACCTGGGAACATTGGTCCCTGTAGCTACTCTGGAGGAGCTCATATTCCACCCCAAAGAATTGCTGCATGACTGAGAGTCCTCTGGACTCATGGCCACTGTTTTAATAGCAGGTGGAAACTGAGACTGGGGGAGGGAGGTATTGTGCCAGTCATGGCTGCATTTGGACCAGAATGCTCTGGTGTTGATAACTCATCCCTTGATCACCACTCGGGTAAATTGCTGTGATGCATTCTACACAGGGCAGCCTCTGAAGACGACCTGGAAGTGTAACTGCTACAGAATGAATCAAGAATCAATCCTGCCATTGCAGGTGAAGTTCTAATTTTCATGGCTGCCTAGGCATTGCCGTGCTCTGATGGTGTGGATGAATTTGATTTATTGCATACACCCACAGGAAATTAGAAATTTAAATTTCCTTCCTTCCTTCCTTCCTTCCTTCCTTCCTTCCTTCCTTCCTTCCTTCCT